AACATATTTTATAAAATATATCAGGAAGAGAACTAATTGTGTATTTAGAATGAAATCATTCTGTCTAGTATATGTGGACATGGAACATGGCTGCTAAATATCTAGAGTCCCTGTAAATTACTCTCAATTGAGCTCTTCCATTCCCCAATCTGTAATGGTTTGGGGCAATAGGTCTGTGCAGTGGTAAGTATGACATGTATTTTGCCTTTGTTCCACTCTTAACTTCAATAACTTTTTAATTGAAATTTGGCTTGGAAATGCAGGGGAATCAGAGGAAGATAGTTAAAGATGGATAGATGAATGCTTAGGAGGAAATGAAGTGTACATATTTATGTGAAAAAAAGAATTCTCCTGGCTTAAGAATTGCTTGAAGTAAACATATGTATTTTGATATGCATTTTGGTTGTCATTATGTGAGTCATTTATCTACATTGTTCAGAGTGCAGATCTTAATGTACATTTGCTGACTTTTTGTTTATTGAATAATTTGTCAGCATAATTGCAAAGTGTCAGTAGTGGTTTTACTGTGCAATAACCCCTTCTCTGTTAGTATTGTGTTCTTATCCAAGTTGTATCTTTCTTTTGAATTAACCATTGCCAAATATTGTGTGGCTTTAAAAATGTAATTCTAGAGAAAAATATACATTTCACTTGAACTGAATGCATTGGTTTGTATTTTTCTTATTTCTAGAGATGAATACAGTCCAACTACTGATTCTTTGCATTTATTTAACATGTACTTCATGAATTGAAAGATTTTAGTCTTTCATAAAGCATTTCATAAATTAGCAATATATTAGGAAGAATATTCAGAGAACTCATCACACATTATACAAAAATTCTTTTCATAGGAGAGCCTGCTGGCAGCAGATCTGTATATATACAGGGGCTAATATGAGATCTGTGCAAATATGCAGTAGTTACATAATATAAAGGCCATATCAACAAAAAACCCCACCAAGCACTAAGTAGGATAATTTAAAGAGTAATGCTCCTTTTCAACTTTAGGGAAAACAAAATACAGTGTTCCCAAATATATAGAATTTGTGTATTCATAACGTGATTCTAAAAATCACAGATTCTGAAATCTTTGTCTTACAGGTTAAAAACAGTAATAGAAGAACTGATGCAGACACAGCAAACCCTTTTGAGCAAAGAGGAACTTGTGTTGGAACTGGAGAAAAAAATAGAAGAGTCCTCCAAGACTTGTGAGAAGAAGTCTGAGTGAGTTGAAATGAAATTTCAAACTACAATAATAATTTCAGGGACAAGTATCTACAGTGTGATTCCTAGGAGTTAAATAAGAAGTAACCTCCATTAACCTTATTCTGATTTTGTGAGAAGTGATTACTATGCAGAACAAGTTAGTGTCCCATCTCTAAGCTAACCCTTACCCACTGCAGATCCTAATTAACTGGAGAACTGGGCAGCTTCATTAGTTTAATTGTCATAGTGTTGGGATGGCTCAAGCACTGGCCCTTTGGTTAGTATTATAACTTCAGCATGGTAGAAGAAGAGGAGTCAGTTCACATTGCCTCTCTGTTTGGCAGAGTTAATTGTGTAGATCTTATTTTATGAAAGCCTTTTTTGGAGTCATGTGCAAAACAAAATCTTATGCAATAATATGTTTGGAGCCTGTCAGGTGAAGTTCATTCTTTGCTGAGTTTTCTTTATAAAACTGAGTATAGATCCAATATGCTGTAGTACTGCATAGAAACTAATGAAGACAGGGACTTAGTGAGTGTTTTACTGTGCCGATAAAACATTATTATAAAGGTCCATTCTTGGGCCAGATCTTCAGTTTTTTTTCTGTCTCTGGTTAGAAAAAATATTCAGATAGCAGTCTAAACTGAGTACAGCAGATGAAGACACTTTCTGTCTATAGTGACATTTGAGATCCCACATGGAGTACTGCATCACGCTCTGGAGCCCCCAGCACAAGAAGGACATGGACCTGTTGGAGCAGGCCTGGAGGAGGGCCATGAAGATGATCAGAGGGCTGGAGCACCTCTCCTATGAGGACAGGCTGAGAGAGTTGGGGTTATTCAGCCTGGAGAAGAGAATGCTCCAGGGAGACCTTACTGCAGCCTCCTATGATCTGAAGAGGGCCTACGAAGAAAGCTGCAGAGGGACTTTTTGCAAAGGCTTGTAGTGATAGGACAAGGTGTAATGTGTTCAAATTGAAAGAAGGTAGATCTAGATTAGATGTAAGGAAGAAATTCTTCCCTGTGAGGGTGCTTAGACACTGAAGCAGGTTGTCCAGGGATGTTGTGAATGCTCCATCAGTGGAGGTGTTCAGGACCAGGTTGGACAGGGCTTTGCACAATGTGGTCTAGTAGGAGGTGTCCCTGCACATGGCAGGGGGATTGGAATTAGATGATCTTTAATGACCCCTTCACAAACCCCTCTATGATTCTGTTTTTCTGATTCTAGTTCAAATCAGTCATAACCTTACTAACTCGTTCATAAATATTAATTTACAATACCAGTGAACTGGAATGCAAGTCTTCGGGTAATCCTGTCTTCTTTCATTGAAGAACTCTTGAAGCCCTTTGTTGAAGGCATCTTGTCACTTCATACATTGGATAGTATTTAATTCTTATCCACAACTTCGTGTATGTATATGATATAATGTTTTGATTAGATAATCTGCTCTTTCTTTGGTGAAGTTCACATGTATTCACAGTATATTTTCCAATTTATTTGTTTTTTTTACCTAACTTCCTTGCTACATGTTACTTAAAGTATAAACTGTATTTGAACTAGATGAGTTTCTTGGGTTTTAGTATGTAGGGTTTTGTTTGTTTGTTTTGTTTTATGTTTTTGTTTTTATTTTTTCCCCCCACAGTATAGTTTTGTTGTCAGTTGTCTCTCTTTGAAAATGGTTCAGACCCTGTGTTTCTTGCTGCAGTCTTCTTTGACTAAACCTGTAGCAAATGTTTGTAGTGTTAAGGACATGATTTCAGTTCAGGTTTATCCTGGTTTGTGTTTAGGACAGAACTAATTCTGTTCAGTGATTTTACTTTCAAGCTAGGTCTCTTCTAACTAACTTCACTTTCTGAAGTTAATTTTTGCAGGCAGTGTCTGCTTCTAGCAGTGCTTACACTTGATGTTTAGAATTAATACCAAGACGTGTTGTGCAGACCAAGGTCACTGCTAAATCTTGTGTACAATATTAGTGGTGCAGAATGTAAAAAGCCACACCTGCACAGAGGTTTGGATGGGACAGGTGGCCCTACATTGACCAACAAGGTATTCCATCCCATATGTGTCATATTCATTATAGAGCTGAGGGATCACAAAGGTCAAGCTCTCTTCTTCAAGGGTGAGCATCTGAGGAGGACTATCTCTGTTGTGCCTTAGATCTTGATCCAGTTCCAGAATCCAACTCCTGAATCTGGTTCTTGTCAGCCACTGAGTCTGGTCTGAGACTTCCCCAGTGCCTGCCTCACATCATCAGTGGTGAAAGTGACAGAATTACTGTCAGGGGAGTTGGGTTTGACATTGGTTTTATGTATATTTTTTTTTAAATTTATTTTATTATTATTATTTTCATGAAAATAGTTTTCTAATGCCTGTCTCTCTCCCTTATTCCCTTTCTCTTCCCCTTTGGAAGAGGAGAGATATTAACAGAGAGCGTCTGTTATAGGTCTAGTGGATGGGCCAGATCCTAAACCTTTACAAGAGTGCACCGGTATCTGTAGGTCTTTTTAAATGGCATGAAATATGGCTTAGATTGCTTGTGATCAGATAAAACTTTCCCTTAAAACACCCCAGTTCTGATTTGTCATTGATCTTACCTTAATCAACCCCATTTTCAGCTTTTAACTGCAGTGCTGAGTGATCAGGCTGGTTTTGCAGGTACTTATGGTTCAGCTGTCACAGGTTTTTGACTCCTGTCATAGCATCAGGCACTGGCCTCAGTGTTGTGAGGTAAGCTGAAAGGTAAAGGTGGTTGAGCAATAATGGAGAGAAGAAATAAATAAAGAGAATATGAAGCAGAAGTCATCCTGTGGGTGTAATGCAAGTGTGTTGTCGGGAAAGAAATTGAGGAGGTCCACTCCAAATGCAGAAGCTCTAGACCCTTTATTATTTTTGAGCCTCACCCAAGGTGTTGAGCTTCGCTATTTGGTGCTAAGGAGGTCTCCTTTTCTCCTTTATCTGGGAAAAATCACAGTAAAAGACTCTGAAATCATGTATTCTGTCTCTTGACTTGAACCAGTTTGAATTAAGCTCTCTCCCCACTTCTTTCTGTCATGGCTTCAATACCACAAGTTCTCAGTTGTTTTCTGATTTGGCAGTGGCAGTCTGAATTGGGGATTGAAAGCGTTTCCTGGTATATAGTTCTGGCAACACTACAAATGTGCATGTACTGCACCTTTCATTAGGACATGTGCAGAATTGTATCTACAGGCCTCTGATTTTGTGTTCCTCCTCATTATTTAGCTGTGTTGGTACTATTATCCTCGTACTAATATCCCTTTCTGCCTTCGAATGATGATATCACCTGCAACACAGTGTTTTATTTATCTTTTATTCATATATGTATATGTCAAGCTTACCATCTGCCCTCCTGACATGATAGCATATTGAGTATTTGGGTTTTGATTTGGTTCACCTTTTTACCACTTCCCAAGCTGTTACCCTGATCTGGCTTGCAAGGTCTCTTCACACAACATCTCACTGTGTGAGGTTACTAGCATAGCTCTTGCTAGCCACAGGGACTCTAAAGGTTGCACTAATACAAGGTATAGGCAGATAACTTTATAGACTCCAATTCTTCATGCATAGATGGAAAGAGGAGCAAGATTTGTTAGATTTGGGCAAACCAGTTGGACTAAAGTCTCTCTGGCCAGAGTTCAGGGAACAGAATAGCTCATGAGTTTTTACTTGCAGGATATGTCTTGTTATCTCTGGATCGTGATGCACTGAAACCATTCAGTGATGGGATGTTGTCATTCTAGCCAGTGTGTGTTCACCAAAGCCCTGCTGATATTGGAAGGCTGTAATTTTCACAGGGCGATCTCTTTTTTTCTCTCGTAATGAAAACCAGATGAAAGAACATCTTGCAGTTAATGCCAGGGTAATTTTTCATGTCTTTGTGTGATGCTTTTAAATGTGTGCAGTCTCAGGCCAAACCTCAGTTTCAGGTCCTTTAATTGTGTCTTCATACGTCATATTTATCCTTTACATGTGAATGGTATTTTGCTGATTGTACAGAGTTCTGTTCTTTGATGACTAAGTACAATGCTTATCTATAGGGATATGATTTTTATCTTTTCCTGCCAATGAGGGTTTTATTACAGATGGTTCCCTTATCTCTTTGAAACTTGTTTGAATAGTCATTTGTCTCAGCATCCGTTTGCAAAGAAACAATCTCAGTATCAATGCCTTCTAAATTTCTTTTTTCTCCACGGGTAGCTCTTGCTGGGGAGTTTTTCTTCCAGAGTTTTTCTATCCTGAATATATAGAGTGACAGGATAATGTGATTTTTCTCTATACTGGCCTCATTCTTCATAGTTCTGTTCCCTCTGCCACCTATATCTGTTACTGCAGACTGTTGAGACCTCTGCATCTCTTTATAGACCACATGTCACTGGACTCCAATTGAGTGCTTTTCAGGGTGTCTGTATTGTACTGTGGCTGGTTCTGTCTTGTAGGTAGCTTCTGTCCATTTTTAGTTTTGGCAGCTCTTGTTGACAATAGAGTCATCTAGTTATCTATATCTAGGTGTTCTAAGTGATCTGCTTGTCCTTCAGTACTGACTGAATTATGTCTGTCTTGGAGTATTCAGAGAAAGGTCATAAAAACATGCAGAAGAAAAAAATGCTCCTTGTAGGGTTCAGATTATTTAGCTTCATAAGAGGAATCTTAGAGTGCAGTCCAGAAATACTTATGCAGTAGCGGATCTTCCAGTCCAGGAGAGACAACTTATATCTCCAACTTCATAATAGATGAATTTTTACTGGATATAAGATGAATTTAACAGTGCAAATTATTACTATAACAACTGTGTGGACTGCAGTGGATTTCTAATCACTTGGAATTCGTAATCTAAAAATGTGTTTCTTCTCTAAAAAGATGGTCAACCCTAGTGTTTATTAATTCAATCAGAAGTGGATTAAAATAGTAGTTTCATCTGCACTTATTACAACATGATTTTTGTGATAGGTTGAGAAAGAGAATGGGAAAGTAGCTGTTTTTATTGCATTGTCTTGTAGCTTTGAAAATTTTCAAGAACACTTCATGTGTTTATGCCTTTGAATAAATGATTCTGTTGCATTTGCATTTTTTTTTTATTGGTTTGTTAGCTTTTATAACACAAAGTATGTAGTTTAAATCACCTATATTTTAAAATTGTCATTTTCCTCTGCAGTATTGTACTCTTGCTGAGTCAAAAGCAAGCACTGGAGGAACTTAAGCAAACAGTTCAGCAATTAAGATGCTCTGAGGCAAAATTTGCAGCCCAGAAAGAACTACTGGAGCAAAAGGTTCAAGAGAACGACGGGAAAGAGCCACCACCTGTAGTGAATTATGAAGAAGATGCCAGATCAGTGACTTCTATAGTAAGTCTTACACTTGTTTTACTGAATTGTGCAGCCTTTCATTCTACTGTAGCCCTGTGATCAGAGTCTCCTGATATTCCCAGGGATGACTGAAGTGAACAAACTTCACTTTGCATTAGTGGAGGCTTGTTTAGAAAACCAGTTCAGTCATGTGAATTTTTTTTTTTATGTTGCAATAACTTGTAGTTATTGTAAATATGTAGTTATGTTGCAAATAGCTCTGTATGTCTGTGGACTTGGTTTGGTCTTCTGCACACTTGGTCCTTAGGTCCTCATTAAAATGTTTTATAATAAACAGTCATGACTGGGTACCTATTGGTAATTTCACTGGCTGTGTTGAAGCAATATGTTTACAGTTGTAGATAGAAAACTAACAGTAAAAGCTGTTGGAATCATTACACACGTGTCATTGAGAAATTAATTTTGTGTACTAGAATTACTCTTTTCTTTAAACAGACATAAACATTGGGTTTTTTTCAACTTACTTTTAAATGTGTGCATGCTGTTAATAATCGAAAGAAATGTTTTGCTCTGTGATGAGACCACATGGAATTAAACAAATACTTTGCTAATATTTTTTGTGACTTCCTTTTCTGAGTGGTATGCTGCTATGTGTAGAGATAGTAGACCACAAAAAAAGCAAACAAAGAATACCTGTTTACTAAAGGGACAAGCAGTAGTGTTTGCTTTTGTGGATTAGGTTTGATGTATCTGAGGTGCTTGTGACGTGTTTTCTTTAGAGGTTTAGCTTGCCATTTCTTTTGGCTCACAGTGAAATAATAATGAAATGGTTGCTTTTGAGAGGAATGCTTTTATTTTCACTAACTATTTGTGAAACCAGGATTGCTTTTTCTTCCATTTCTATTGTACAGTTATAGTTAACTGTCAGTGATCCATTCCTTCCACTACTACTGTTTTATGTTTGCAAGGCACTAGCAGGTGTTTGCCATTTTCATTGGTATAAAATGTTATTTTATAAAGCTTGTATGCTTATCATGATCTTGAAGGAGTTGATAAAACACGAAAAGATAGAGAAGAAAGGAAGGATCAGGATACTGATTGTGAAAGGCTAGGAGGCTTGGAGTCTTTTTAGGGTAGGCCATCTTATTAGTTATTTCATGTAATATCATGTGGTGATGGTAGTGAATAATGCCTGTAAGGGTTGTTTGAGAGGGGAAGTCTAACCAAGGTAATGGTTTTCTTCCACCACAGTTCAAGGTTACTACAGTCTGTCTTCTGGTGTCCAAATCTCTGTTTCAATGTGTTGGAGAGAATAATGCTTGGATATATGCACAATACACAGTGAAGAATTTTGACATCTTAATATTTTTGGCATAGAATTTATCTATGATTTTTTTTTGTTTTGTTTTTTGTTGGAGGAGCTACATACTGAGATTCCTAGATTTATTTAAGAAATATATTTTTGCCTATTTTAAATGTGCTGTGAGTAAGAAACATGTTGGTAATTTGGCTCCAGAGGATTTAGTGTTATAATTTGTATGCATCATGAAACATAACAGAGTATGTTAATTGTTGGGTGATTTCCCTTGAGTAAGTTATTTAAGACAGACAAATACCGCTTAAGTTTTGTTTAACTATTAAGTTGATATCTGGTGCTTGTAAAATTGACTAAAACGTGGTAGAGACAACTGCAGTCTAAATTAAACTTTTTTCAAATTGCTGTACCTTGAGAGGTCAGTCTTGACTGTGTCTCAGGATGAAAAAAAAATACACTAACAGGCTGTTTGTATAAATAAGCATCCTGGTGATTTTTGTGGTGGGACCTTTCTTAGGAAAATTTTATTGTTTGTAAAATATAAACTGTGTACTAGTGTTCATGTACATATTATAAGAAAAAAGGAAATTACTGGAGAATCCTGTTCTCATCAATCATGATAATATTTATTTGAGTAATTAAGTACAATGGTGATAGTTTGCATTTGCAGTAAGATTTCAAAATTACAGCCTTGGAATTGACTTAGAAATTGTTATAGAACAGGAAATCTTCAAGAAGTGCTTGTCTGACAATAGATTTACTTAGTATAAAGTAGTCATTAATTTTACTTAGCAATAATACAGTGAAATCTGTATAACATTTTCATATGTCGTCTTCTTTTACAAGGTAAACCCAAATATTTTAACAATGCAAACCCATTATTTTTAAGAATAAGTATTTAAAACTATGTGATTTTCTCAACTCCAGAAATATTTCATATACATGTATGATGTGTACTGCAGCGTTGTACTGGCACCTTTGATAAAACTGAGGCTTGGTATGCAGACTCTGCAGTACTTGAAAGACTTGTCAGCAGGTGGAGCTCAGTGGCAGAAGACTAGAAGTTATGGCTGAATAAAATTTTTTTTTTTTATTACATACATTTAAAAAAGGCATATGAAACATAGGAATATGGAGGGAAAAAAATCTATATTCTCATCTATCTAACATCTAACTAACCTGAAATGATGGTTTTATTTGGTTATGATTTTATTGAGATGTTTTTACAAATAATAAAATGTGCTTGTCATGTAGTGAGAATTTACATTTCTAAATTCCAGCTTTATCTGTTGTAAGAAAATTACCCAAAAGGAAAAAAGTATAGAAGTTTGCTGCATATTTAATTGGTTTTATCCTTTGTCATTCCTTTAAAAGGCTTCAGAGATACTATTCTCAGTGACTGCTTTAAAAGTAAGATAAGCCAGATTTTGTTGAAGGTTGTGGTAAATAAAATAACCAGTTCTCTGTGGTTACAGAAGAAAGAATATTAAATGCATGAGATGGTGCTAAAGTACTAGTTTCTTTATTTGTAAGTTGTTCTAAAATGACCTTTTTGTTTTCCTAATGTGAAAGCTTTATATTTCCATTCTTACTTTCTAGAATCCATGATTCAGTGGCCCTTCTAGTGGTGTGATTAACAAACCAATGGTGTTAGAGTCTTCCTCTGCAGGTTTGGGTTTGAGGCAAATACTTCCAGTATTCTCACTAAAATCGTAATAGTCAAAATTAATTGATTTCTATGTTTTGAGTTTTTAAAAGTGAGTTCCATAGATACAAAAGAGCATTTACATGACTTGGTTATGTGATTAAAGATGTTTCATTAAATACATTATAGGTGACGTATCATAAGGCTGTGAAAGATAATCTGCTAGAGAGATATAACCACACTCTAGAGGGTCTTCTTTTCCCATACTCTCTCAGGCTATATAGCATCTTTATTTTCAAACAGATGCAGGGGAACAGTTAGCTTCTGTGACAGCCTCTTGCAGCAGTAGCAGAAAGCTTGATAGTAGAGATAAAATTGTTGGTTTTTTTTCTTACTGACTCAGAAGAATTGAGACTTTCCTATGCTTCCTAAAGCATTGCTGAACC